TAAATCAGCGGTTCTCAACCCTTTGGGGGTTGAACAACCCTTTCACAGGGGTCACCTAAGGCCATCGGAAAACACATATATAATTACATATTATTTTTGTGACTGATCACTATGCTTTAATTATGTTCAATTTGTAACAATGAAATTGGGGGTCATCACAACATGAGGAACTGTATTAAAGGGTCGCGGCATTAGGAAGGTTGAGAACCACTGGACTAAATATTCTTTGTCAGAATCTACCCAGGAGCTCCATTTATCACCTCTAATAATTAATGTGGCTTTTTCTCCAGGGCAGCAAAGTTTTCTTATTTATTTTTCTGTGTTAAAGTTCTCGTTAAATAACTCTATTCTTAACTTCTATTTCTTATTAGTGGTGTCTGATACAAGATGAGTTAAAAAGGCTTTGTGGCCCAGCCGGTGTGGTTCAGTGGTTGAGCATCGACCTATGAACCAGAAGGTCGAGGTTCAATTCCTGGTTGGGTCACATGCCCGGATTGTGGGCTCATTCCCCAGTGGGGGACATGCAGGAGGTAGCCCATCAGTGATTCTCTCTTATCATTGATGTTTCTCTCCCTCTCCCTTTCTCTCTGAAATTAATAAAAATATATTTTTTAAAAAGGCTTTGTGGACTAGCCTGGTGCTTTAACCATTACTTAACGCATTAATTCTATGAGAAAATATAGCACATGTGTGCTTATACTAGTAAGTTACAATCTAAAAGTTTAATAAATGAACCTAGGAATGCTGGTTCTTTACAAATTAGGGAATGCATAGACACAGATTTAACAAAATATTAACTTACGAAATTTGAATATTAAGGAGATTCATCCATTGTGTAATTAAAGCTAAATATGTATTTTATAGGTATATCAATTTGCTTATTATACAAGACAAATACTATATGGAGAAACAATTCTTCCATTTGGCCCCAGAATTCATTTGCCTGCTTTGGGACTGAAAATTTATATTCTGATCCTGAACTCTAAAAGTACTTGCAAAGAAAACTTGTTTTTCAAAAGGGGATGGGTAGGTTGGAGTGGAGAGGAAGTAGCCTTACTTAGCACATTTTAATGTTTGAGTTTATTAAATTATAATGGTCTGTGGAAGTTGTGAGGAATGTGAGTTTGTTTTTCATTGATCATTTATATGAGGTGCTGAGGGATTACATGGCTTGCCAGGGATCACCCATCTAGGCACCAGCAGAGCCAGGATTCAGACCCAGGGTTGTCTGACCCCTGCCTGGTGCTCCCTCCCCAGAAAGGATGGCATCACACTCCTTCCCAGGACTTCTCTTCCCAGTCTTTCGTGGAATGTCTTTCTTTAAAGTCCAGCCTGGACCAGTTCTTCTCCATTTCCTCCCCTGGTGGCTGCCTTAGAGCCCAGGGACTTGGGGCCACCCAGTTCTGCCTCCTTCATAAGAAGTTTCAGGAAGGCACTTTCCAAGTCCTTTCCCCACTCGTTGATATCAAGATGATTTTTATGCTGTTAACTTATTTGATGTGAAGCAAGGAGGCTTTTAAGTGCTGGAGAGAAAGTGAAGACACGTTGTTCCTCGTGGTCTGATACATTAGGAAAATTGTAGTGTGGAGGGGACCAGATGCATGCATGCAAGGCATGGCTTTCCCCTCCCCCACTTTGCAGGGAAAGAGCTTCTGCTGTGTTTGGACAGCTCAGGCCTGGGGTTTCCCTGTGTTCTTCAGCCCCAGAACTGAATGGGGTCCAGCAATGCTGGGTGATTTATAGTGGAAAGGACCAGTGCTTCTCACAGGGTACAGGGGAGAGATCTAGGAAGAGGAAAGGGAGAGAGGAGGGAACAAACAGAGGAATAAATCATCCTGAGTGGGCTTGGGCAGATAGATCAGTAATTAAAATTCTAGGATAAGTCAGTATATCATTCAGTTGGTGTATTATTTGTTGAGTCTTTAGTAGATATTTAAGTTGGGTTTTTTACTTTCTACAGAGAAGTTTCTTTTGAATATGCTAAGATGGGTCAGCAAGTGACCCATTTTCACATGGGTCACAACAGAAATATCAGTGACCTTACTGGATCATCTCAATAACATTGCCCCCAGTGCATTTCATGGGACTTGAATCCCACGTGATGCTTGACGAAATAGAGCTTTCTGGTGAGGAAACATAGCATTCTATACCCCATTTTTGGAAGTTCTGAGAAATTATGTAATAAAAAATGAGATTAACTTTTTGAATCCACATTTTTCAAAATATCTGGCCTCAGGACCGTTTTATAAGTAACAGATGCTAACAACCCAAAGAAAGTGGACTCCATGGAACATTCTTGGGTTCTGCCATTCCAGAACATTCCAATTCAGAAGTTTCCTCCCATCTAAGATGAGCTCCTGCCCCAGGGCACTGTCAGAGTAACTAAAACACTATACCTCACTTCAGGTGAGCAAAGGAGTGAGAAAACATTCCCGGCATCAGAACCAGTTCTTCCTTCTTGTCTTAGTAGAAAAGTTGTGGATATTTTCCAAAGAGTTCATGTGTATATTATTAATATCATTTCTCCCACAGTGTGATCCTGGGCAACTTTTTGAACCCCTTCATGTCTCAATTTCCTCATTTGCAAAATGGTGGTAATAATAGTGACCCCATAAAAAAATGCATGTAACACATTTAACAAGAATGTTAACAGATGGAAACTACTACTCGTATTAAAGAATACTCTTCCCTTGCCAGGAGGGAACTATATATTTTGGAAGATGAGCTTTGTATCAGTAGAAGCCATTATAATGGTACTTCTGTTCCAACAAAGATCACATCTATCTATAAAAATAAAAGCATAATATGCTAATTAGACCGGACATCCTTCCAGATGAATCTGGGGCTGCGAGAGAAGCTGGGGTCCTGGGTGCCTGCCAGCAGCAGGAGGGAAGACCGGGTCCTAGGTGCCAGAAGGAAGCCAGTGCTGGCAACTGGGGGAAGGAAGGCCTACTCTTGCACAAATTTTGTGCATCGGGCCTCTAGTTTTATAATTGTATGAGGACTGGATCAAGAGCTTTTTTATTCTTTATTGTTTAAAATATTACATATAGTATTACATATGTCTCCTTTTTCCCCCATTGACCTCTCCCGGGCCATCCCTCCCCCCCCCACACACATGCCCTCACCCCCCTAGTGTCTGTGTCTATTGCTCATGCTTATATGCATGCATACAAGTCCTTTGGTGGATCTCTTAACCCTCCCCTCCCCTGCCTTCCCTCTGAAGTTTGATTGTTTGTTTGGTGCTTCTCTGTCTCTGGATCGATTTATGTTCATCAGTTTATGTTGTTAATTATATTCCACATATGAGTGAGATCATGTGATATTTATCTTTCTCTGACTGGCTTATTTCGTTTAGCATAATACTCTCCATGTCCATCCATGCTGTTTCAAGTGGAAAGAATTCCTTCTTTTTTACAGCAGCATAGTATTCCATTGTGTAGATGTACCAGAGTTTTTTAATCCACTCATCTGCTGATGGGCACTTAGGCTGTTTCCAAATCTTAGCTATTATAAATTGTGCTGCTATGAACATCGGGGTGCTTATGTCCTTTCTGACTGGTGTTTCTGCTTTCTTGGAATATAGTCCTAGAAGTGGGATTACTGGGTCAAATGGGAGTTCCATTTTTAATTTTTTGAGGAAACTCCATTCTGTCTTCCACAGTGGCTGCACCAGTCTGCATTCCCACCAGCAGTGCATGAGGGTTCCTTTTGCTCCACATCCTCACCAGCACTTGTCATAGGTTGATTTGTTGATGATAGCCATTTTGACAGTTGTGAGATGGTATCTCATTCTTGAAGGCAGGCTGTGTTCTCTAAATTCCCTGGATCAGGTCCTCAGAAGGCTTACAGTAAATAATTGTGGAATGAATTAGTGAGGTGTGTAAGAAAGCCACATGAGTTGACCCATGAAGAAAGTTTACCTGGTCTCAGAGAAGGATGAACCAGAGTACAGTCCTGGGGACAGGAAGAGTCAGAACTGAGATAGTGAGAAAGGGTCTCAGAGAAGTGGAGCAGGCAGCAGGAATATTTTGAGGAATCAGCAAGGAGGAGACCAGAAGTCTAGAGTAGAGGGTCTCTGTAGGTGAGGCATGGTGAAAGCCCAAGGAATAGACTGGATGGAGTCAGACATTTTGGGGCATATCTCTTTAAAGGTGATCACACAGGGAATTAAGAGGAAGCAACTCATATCTGAGGGCACCTCTAGGTGGCGCCAGGCTATGCCAGGCTTTCCCAATGTTCCCCGCAGCCATGTACATGATAGATGACAGCAAGTGCATGACACGTTCCCTGGTTCACTGCCTGCAAAGCCATCCTTTTCTTGTCTCACCCTCCAAAGCATTTCAAAATGCAATTAACAGAAAATGATGTTGTTAAGCCAGTAACCTTGAAATCACTTTAATTTCTTTTTAAAGAATCACTCATGAAATACAGTCCCTTACTATCATTCATAACAAGTGCTTGTTAGCCCAGCACACAATGTCCCTCATTGGGTGTTGCAACATGGCATTTAAGAACCATGGGTCTGGTCCATTGGTCAACCAGGACCCCTTTCCATGGAAGGACATTAGGCAAGATTCCTTCAGTGAGTGGCTCAGGGTAAGGCCCTGGCTATTAACCAGGTAGAACAAGGAGGGAATAACCATTTAAAGAGCACTTAGGTCCCAGACGCTGAGCTACACATTAGATTCATTTTCTCAATTAAATCTCTCAACACGCGTGAAAGGGAAGGATCATTATTCATATTGCTCAAGTGAGAGAGGCCATTGGTACCAGGAAGGTATTTTTCACTAAGGATGTTCGAAGAATTGGAAGTGTTAAATAGGGGTTTTCTAAATCTGAAACGCTCATTTTGTGCATGGGTATCACCATATCCTTTTTAGTGGGGATGAGGTTGGGTGGGGGGTGGTGCGGGCAGAATCTTTTGCTTTTCAGTTCCAGGGAAAGGCCTCTCACTGCTGCTATTCCACTAATTCTCAGATGGTTTCTTTGTGTTCCAGCCTGCCCTGCAGGGATGTTCAAGGCCAGCCAGGAAGCTGAGGGCTGCTCACACTGCCCCTCCAACAGCAGATCCCCCTCAGAGGCATCTTCCATCTGCACCTGCCGAACCGGCTATTACCGAGCGGATTTTGACCCCCCAGAAGTGGCATGCACTAGTAAGTGTCTAGTAAGGGCTCTGGGAAGGGGAGTTTGGTATAAGTGGTGGGCCTGTGGCAGAGGAGACTAAGACACCATTCTGCAATTGCAGCACTGGCTGCAGTGCTGAAATGCTGACTGAGGTGCTGAAATGCTGGCTGAAGTGCTGAAATGTTAGCTGCGGTGCTGAAGTGGACAGCTCCTTACTGGGCATGCAGGGTCCCTTTCTCTGCTTAGTAGCACAGGTTCAAGATTAGGTTCTTTCTTACCTCCTCCTCCCAGATGGGAGCGTTTTTTGAGTACAAATTCAAGATCCGCTAGGAGATTGCAACGGTTCCTAGTAACTCTTCCAGTCACCTCCTCTAAGAAGCCCCCTTGGCCCTGTGTTTCTGTGACCAGCTCTTCTCAGACACTCATTTTATTAATTGCCTAATTATTCTGTGATTGCCTTCTCAGTTACCAGATGAAGGTCTTGTGTCCTTTGCAGTGCCTAGTATAGTACAGCATCTTACCCTCACCAAATGACACGACCAGAGGCCTGGCCACAGTACCCATCTAAGTGACAGATTTTCTAGGGGCTGGGCTAATGCATCAGCTCCACCACTCTCCCATTCTCTCTTTAGAGAAGAGGGCAGTCATCCTGACAAAAGTGTGTGTGAGTTGTGGGGGGAATGACTCCACTTCCTGTGTAAAGATGGGGAAAGGGAGAATTTCCTCACAGTCTTCTCCCCCATAATCGTGGGGAGGCAGGAAGCATTATTCTCTCTACTCCCCTAAATGTTGCAGCACCAAAACACAGGTTGTTTTTCTTTTTGCTATTCCCATCACCCTCTCCAGTTGAGCCTCTCATGATGCTCGAGTTTTCTTCTGCACTGGAAACTGTTGCCTGCCCTCCTCTGCGACTTTCCTCTCACCTCCTTAGATCAAATCCCTTCCACCCACCCCCAGCATAGAAGGGTACAGAGGGAATGTTTCATGCATACTTGTAGTTTGGTGGGCAAAAAAATGACTGAGCCCCTCGTAGAAGAGTTTCTTAATTCTGGCTTTGCAATGTATGTAACCTTTGCTGGGTGAAGAAGAGGAATGAAAGTGTCTTCTAGATCAAGGTCCTGAGGTCGATCAATGTTATAGATTTGAACTGAAAAAAAAAGCTCATCCTCTTGTGAACTGATTTTGCCCAGGCCCCCCTCTCTGGTGGGGTGATATGAACAGAAATGATTCTATTTCTGCTGACTAGAGTCCCTGTCTTTCTGTTGCATTATCTTCTCTACTGTTTTCTGAGGTCCCCATGGCTCTCTGTGACCTTGACCCATTGTTTAATGTACTAGTACTTCTTTAGAAGTCACTTAGGGGTAAGGAATCACCACTGCCTGGATGTCCAGAAAAAGGACCGGTCTCCATGGCTGCCAAAGCACATAGCCAGGGTCTCACAGCTTCCCTCCTGAAAAACACATTTCCTTCCATTTCTGCCAGTGAGCCCTCTCTCCTCAGCAGATTAACTCATGCACATAGAGAGCTGGGCCTCCCAGCTCCCCACTTAGGTGGCATACCCTGTAAATCCATCCGGCTCTTGGATAAGGCCACCTGGAGGGAAGGTAGGCAATGACCAGATGCTCAGAAAGCTAATGTGGAGCTATCCTCCTTGCCATATTGCACTCCTTCTAACTTTCAAGGCTGATCTTCCTACCATCTAACCTGATGTGCTTGAACCAATAGGACTGATTCCTGGAATAAATAGGAATATCCCAAAGCCTCCAGTCCACCCACTTAGACTCTCATTCTACTCTGCCTCCCCATATCCTGCGTCGACCTCATTAAAATCAGACCTCACTGGCTTTTCTCTCCTGTCTCTGGCCCAGCTATCTCTGGAGTTAGGCACACCTTTCTCACCTCCTGTGATCCTACTACAATCTCCCCACCTTGCCCAGAGTAGGGGGGAATGCTAGACTTGCCTGTGTGTAGCACCGCACCCTTTGCTCTTGTGCCACAGATATAGAGTGCTAGGGTCAGACTAAGATCACCAAATCAAAGCCACACTTGTCTGTGGTGGTCAGGCCCAAGAGCAGCTCACGGATGCATTGTCTAGCCTCGGCCTGCAGGGGCAAGCACTTGGTGAGGGTCCCAGAGGCCCGGCTGGGCTGCCGCACAATGCTAGGCAAAACAAGTGTAAATAAGCCTATTATTTCATTGAGCCTCATTATATATTTGATTTATTGTGTGCTAGAGAAGTACTGTATGAAAAAGTGAATTTGTTGGCTTTTATAATCTCATTAGGGTTTCCTTTTAAAGCTTTCTAATTGGAGGTGCCATCTGTTCTCTTAAAAAGGCATCACACATCACCATAGTAAATAATTTTTCAGATACCAGGAACATAGTTGGAGCGTTTGAGGCCAGGCACAGCCCTGCACCATGGCCTTGGGGGCCCGGCTGGTTACCCAAGTGGAACAAGACAGCCGGATACAAGCCCAGCTCAGCCTGAGAGAGGATGTTTGGGGTGGGGAGGGGACAGGTGCTTATTCACTTTGTAAGTGCCATCCTCCATCCCTCCAACCAGGGAGCAGTTATGGATGAGCAGGGCCGTGGGAGGACCCAGGGAAAGGGGAGCTCTGTCCTTCTAAAATGTACAGGACAGTTGGCATCTATAGTGTCCAGGTCCTTTGGGCATTGGGGAGAGGCGACAGGGTCAGGCATGTCCAAGAGCCCTGGCCTCGGAGTTTGGAAGGACCTTGGGTGGGCCTGTTGCCGTCATCTTTAAATGAGATGATATCAACAGTGACAACAGTGGAAATGTATAAAGAATCTCATGATTTAAAATGAGCTCTTTTATAAGGCTAAAATACCTATAGTGCACTGAAAATTAATATTTTTAATGAATTCCATTAATCTCTCAAGACTAGCACATATGTTTATTTTTTATCGTGTAAAAGTGATTATTCTAAATTAACTGAAACATTTAGAATGCACAGTAACTTTTATGGCTCTACGTAGGCATTTCTTCATTTTCTTATTGATCTTCTGGGAGAGCCTGGTATCCCCTTGACCTCTGAGAGGCCCTGGCAGCCCTGTGTGTCCAGCCTTGTCCTTGACAAAGTTTGCAGACCCAGCATGGACTTGGGCACTCCCCAAGGCAGTGTCAAAGGGGCTGGTGTGGGCTCCAGTGCAGTCAGAGGAGGGGCGCTGTGTCTGAGTGAGAGGAAGTCATTGTTGCCGGTCTATAGACATCCAGCCCTTCTTACTCCTTCTTCATCCTCTTGGCCCCTCTGCCTGGAGTTCCAGATCTGCTGCATGAATACCTGGCTGACCGCTGCCTTGCCTGGCTCAATACCTGCTCATATTCTAGAGGAGGCCTTGCTTCCCTCAGCCTCTGAAAGGAGGCAAGAGGAAACTGAGAAGGCTGTGAAAGGGTTTAGGCCACACACTGCAGCATGTCAGGGCAGCCCTCAAACATGGAAGGGATAGCCTAAGCCATCTCACCTGATGTGCTTGAGCCAATAGGACTGATTCCTGGAATAAATAGAAATATCCCAAAGCCTGCAGTCCACACACTTAGACTCTCATTCTACTCTGCAGGGTGAGGTGAGAGCTGGGGATGGCTAGAGGCAGGTCTCAGGTGGCCCTCACCCCTTCCTGATAAAGAAGCCTCTGAATGAAGCCAGGCTATGTGGACAGTGCAGGGGTCAGGGGAAAGGTGCAGCCCACCAATGGGAAGGAGTCGTGAAGGCTGTGGGCTAAGGAGCAGGCTGTGATCTCGGGCTCACTGAGCTGCAGCTGAGGACGTTGTCACGTTCCTCCTCTGCTGCCATCCTGGGCCCCTGCCCCATGGCCCTGGGGCCCCCTGGGGAGTCCTGGCATCCCACTTCCCTGATCATGGGTGGTTTCTGGGGAAGCTTATTAAATCATCCTTCGTAAATAGCAGGTGGGCTGTGGCACTTCACAGACAAAAGTTTGAGTCTTGACTCTGTCTCTTACTTTCTCTGTAACCTTGGGCTGATTGCTGAACTACCTTCCATTCTGTCATTTTATCTTCATGACCTTGTAAGAATGCATGCCTTTCTGGGTTGGTATGAGCAATAAGCAAAGTAGTATTATAGAGGCTTTGGCACAGTGCCTGGCTCATGGCAAACTCTCGTTCTGTGTTAAACTTGCTTTGGTTACATCCCTGGAAAGTGTGAGGACGGCCGCAGATACGGAAGCTCCCAGCATGCCAGGATGCTGGAGATCTAAAAATAAAAGGATGTCCTCAGGGAGGGACCAGGTTGTGGCCGTCCCTGAGCATCGCAGCAGGATCCGTCTTTTATCTCCAGACTTCACAGTCACCTTGGCCCAAAGATCCTGGGGAAAACAATGAGGAGGCCATGGCCACTCGACCAGAGGTGCTGTGGGAGAGAGGGGAGGCAGGGACCCAGCACCTGAGACCTGTAGCTGCTGCTGAGCCCTCTCCTCGGGGACCGGGAAGACTGATCCTGGGCAGCCCTGTGGCAGACAAGGCTGGCTTTCAGTTCTCGGGAGCAGGGCTCCGTGGCTCCTCAGGGTCAGACGCGCTTCTTTCCACAGGAAGGTCTATGGCACGGGAGGTGTGACGGGGTCAGCAGAGGGCAGGTGCAGCCGGGAACGCATGACGAAGTGTGCGGCTATGTGAAACCAAGCACCGAAATGTGCCTCTTTGGTTTTCAATAATTCCTAGTGTACTGGGAGACGGAATGGAAAGGAGGAATTTATGAAGCAGGTGAAAATAGACAATTATGCCTTATAAAATTGCTGTCTGTGAAAGACTATGCAGAAGGACTAGTGTAAAAATAATTACCTTGTTACATTTCTGACCACAAAAAACCCCTTTTCTGTCAACCACGTGGGAGAAACTTTGATGGATCACAGAGACAAGTCTGCGCTTGTCTTATTTCTTTATTTCTACTCCGATTTCCCTCTGCAGTTCTGGTCATAGAAACGGGATGGAGAAGGGGTTCCAGAGGCCATTGTCTTGTCCTCTTGTCCTCTTGTCCTCTGGGCCTTCCTGCCATCC